AAAATACAACCATGCTCTGTAAGTTGTCCTGAGCCATACAAATGAATTTTATGTGGAGGCATTAGTTCTGCTAGGCTTTAGAGGGCAGACGCACATTTACTTCTCCTGAAGGTAAAATGCACTCTTCTGCCTTGCTCATCATCTTTATTTTGTGACTGACACAATTCATAAGAGATTAGAGTGAACTTCTTCATGCACATTTTTCTTAATAGGATTCTTAGATAGTTTTAAGATTGCTAATTAAATATATAGCATAGTCTCTGTGAGTTCTTTAAGAACAGCCAATCTTGCAGTACATAATAGGGAGCATAAAGTATGGAGAGAGACACTGCATGTGGTGCTCAGGGACATGATTTAGCAGTGGGCTATTAGGGTAGTATGGCTAAGTGGTGGTTGGACTCGATGATCCTGAAGGTCTTTTCCAGCCTGAGCAATCCTATGACTCCGTGATGATTCTGTGTGTGCATGTGTGACAGTGTTTAACTGGCTGCAGAAACTTGCAGATCTGTTCTGCTTTATTTGTGAAAATAAGATGATCTGCTCTGTCTGATCTGCCAAGAAAACCAGCTAATAATAACTGGAGTGATGCTCTTTTCACAGCTGAGTAACAGAGCAGTTATACTTGGAGCAGATGGAAAAGCGGTACACCAGTCACTGGTTGCAAGAAGTCCTTTAGTATTTTCTGCCTTGCCAGAACATTGCTGCTAAGAGAAATCAGAGTTATGTGTCAAACATAGGAATCATGTCATTTACAAAAAATCAGCCCAGCAAGGGGGCCAGATTCCTCCTTCACTTTACACCCAGATGTGTAATGATGCTGGTACAAAGCCTGCTGCAGGCAACAGCAGTCTGCATACTAACCATCTTCAATACCATGCAGCCTCTTTGGCCAAGACTGCTTCTGCCCAAGCACTCAGCTAGCTCCTTACAAATGTCCATGAGATCTGCTGAGCAGAGAGTCCTGGACTCAATGTGCCATTTCCATCATAAATGTCCTGCAAACTGGCCACGTGGTGGAAGAAAGACTGAGGTGCCCCAGGATGGCTCACTAAAATCCAGCTCATCTGCTGGGCCACTCACTGAGACACGTTTGTTTCATGATCTCCCTTCTTCCCTTCCAACACATAAAAGATGTGGAGTTGTTGAAGCAGGTCCAGAGGAGGGCCACTAAGATGGTTGGAGGGCTGGAACACCTCTCCTATAAAGAAAGGTTGAGGAAGTTTGGCTTGTGCAGCTTGCAGAAGAGAAGGCCCTCCTGTGGGGCCTCACTGCAGTCTTCCAGTACTTGAAGGGAGCTTACAAGCAGGAGACGAACTGACATTTTACATGGTCTGACAGTGGTAGGACAAAGAGGAATATTTTTAAACTAAAAGAGAGGAGATTTGGGCTAGATATTAGGAGGAAATTCTTTACTCAGAGGGTGGTGAGGCACTGTCTCAGGCTGCCCAGAGAAGCTATGGATGCCCAATTCCTGGAGGCGTTTAAGGCCAGGTTGAATGGGGCCCTGGGCAGCCATATCTAATCATTGGTTCTACAATTCTATGATTCAGCCCAGAGGCTTGGCTTGGGATAGAAGGGCAGTGTGAGAGTGCAAATGCCAGATATTCCACCACCCTCAAACTCTAGAAGAGAGGAAACTACTGCAAAACTGTAATAAAGGGTTCTGGGGTGTGTTTCCATCTTTTGGGAAAGGAGAAGTTAGAGAAGAAAAGATCACAACCTCTTCCTCATCGTAACAAAACAAAACAAAAAAGACTGCTGCCAATTTCACCTCCATGGCCACTTTGGATGATGGGGAAGGCTGCTGCTTCAGCAGTGTAGTGATAGCCTTCCATCTGCAGCTAACAAATATCATTTTTTTCACAGCAAATCCCTCAAGCACTTGTTATGTGTGCACATGTGCATACCATGGGCTGTCCCTGCCCTGACTGTTATGGAACCTGGCATGTAAACGTGAACATATGTATAAATTTTGGAAGCCACATCCTGGCTCTTTATCTGAGATGTTTACGCCTGCCCAGACATTGGTTTCCACAGGGCTGATGACCAGGACAGAAAGGCAGAACTCAAGGGCAACATGAGGCTGATCAGGGATTGAGTTTACAGTATGTATGTCACCTGCCTCGTGAAACCCATGGGACATAGATGTGAGCAACAGTCTCAGAAAACAACCCCAACTCCAGCACAGATTCTCCTTTAAAGATTGGGTAATGTTGTTTTGGATTTTTTTTGCTCAACTAGGCCTCTTGGGGCTGTGTAGAACTGAACTGGCCAAGGGAAGTCCTGGCTTCTCATGGAAAAAAGGCTGTCATTTTTATGGGGGGGGGGAGTCACATTTAAGTGTTTTTTTCCTCTGTCCCAAACTGAAATAAAAATATGTTTAAGGAAGCAGCTACCAGGAGAACATACATTGATTTTCTGACTTCACCTCTGCTTTCTGGGCAGGTAAAGAGCAAAAAAGCCCACAAAAACGCTAATTTTTTTTATCCCAAGAAACCTGAAGAACAAGCTATGAAGCTCAGAAGCTCCAGCAGGAGGTTGAATAAAGTGACTTCGAGATGCTCGGTAGGTAGCTGCCATCATTACCGCATAGTCGTAGGGGACTTCTTTGCAAGCCTCTCTGCTGCATTCCCCACTCCTAACGGGGATATGATTCCTCCTTCATATCCTGCTAACAGGGATAGTCATCATTTCTGATGCAGATGAGCTTAACCTTTTCACTTTTTCAGTGTAAACCTTTTCTGAGGAGCTGTCTTGCATGTCTCTGTGCTTAAAAATAAATAAATCAATAATGAAGAAGCTGACAGGAAGTCTCACTGAATTTTCAGAGAAAAACAAAACCGAACAATAACTCTAACAATAACACTTCCACATTTCTTTCTGATTTTTTTCTGTGATGCTCCAAGACAAAGATCAGTTCGTCTGAAAAAAAAACAAAAACCAACAGCTTCTGGAAAACCAGAACCTTCTGCCCAAAAGCAAAATAAACGTGGAATGTTTTGCTGAGTGCTTCTCCCAGAATGCTGCCTATGTGACCCCATGCAGCCGTACCTCTGCATCCAGCTCTGGGTGAGGCTGAGAGCCAGCTGCACACTGCTCAGAACGGCCACGAGGACATTGTGCAGGGAGATGAACAGTACGCAGAGTGCATCATTTCCCAGTCAGCAGTGCCGTTACCCACTGTGCTCCATCACAGCACTACCACCACGGTGCTATTTGCCATCCCCTGCCACCCGCTGTCAGCCCGGGCCGGGCGGATCGCACACCGCAGTTGCGGAGCCGGGCCGGGGAGCTCGGCAGGTCACAGCCGTCGCCATGATGGCGCGGGCCAGGGGGCGGCCGCGGGCTGGGACGGGCCGCGGGTGGGACGTGGCTGCTGTAGTCAACGCAACGCTGTTGTGTTGTCTGTAATGCCAAGTAAAGCGTAGGCTGACGGGCTCGGACGTCTTGCGTGCCTCAAGATGGCAGCACAGCACCGCCGGAAGACCGCAGGCTCAGGTTCCCTCCATGGCCGTGCCTGTGGGAGCAGATGTGGCAGGGCTGCTCGCTGCCATGGGCCTCCTGCTACCAAACACTGCGCGTGTCGCCTCCAGAACCGGGCGGCCACGTACCTGAGGAGAGACGGTCCCTGGTGCTGTCAGCTCGGGTTGACCCTAAGCCACCCACCAGCACAACAGCATCAGCTGCTGGAAGCCAGCAGCGCTCCCTGCTCCCCTTTCCTGATGCAGGCAAAACCTTTCAGCCCTTTGGTTTTTCCCTGAACGTAGCAGGCAGATTCCGCTTTCCATAACCCAAAAGTGAAAATGGTACCAACATGACTTTGGCCTGAATCGTGAAGTTTCTTTCTTGTGACTCACTTCCAAATAAGTTGGCGGCAGGTCTCTCACCAGCTTCAGTCAAACTGGGATTCACAGAGTGGTACGGGTTGGAAGGGACCTGTGGAGATCATTGAGTCCAACCCCCTGCTGAAGCAGGTTACAGGAGGTTATAGGAGGTTACACACAAAAGCATCCAGACAGGTCTTGAATATCACAGAGGAGACTCCACAGCATCTCTCGGCAGCCTCTACCAGCGCTCTGTCAACCTCACTGTAACTAACTTCTTCCTTGTATTTGTATGGAACTCCTTGTGTTCCAGTTTGTGCCCACTGCCCCTGGTCCTATTTGCTGCACACCACTGAAAAAAGTCTGGCCTCATCCACTTGACTCCCACTTCTTAGATATTTACAAGCATTGATAAGATCTTGTCTCAGCCTTCTCTCCTCCAGGCTGAACAGCCCAGGTCTCTCAGCCTTTCCTCATAAGAGATATTCCATGCCTCCCATCCCTATAGTCCTCCACTGGACTCTCTGTGACTGATATAATGTTAATTTAGACTTTGAACCATTGTTTGGCACCACTATGAATTTTTCTATACCTATATCTATTTCTAGCCCAAATTCATGAAGAAATAAGGCCACTGTGGCCATGCTGCCCTTGTACGTCCACCTGGCTGAATCTCATTCATTCTCCAAGTCCCAGTAACTTTTGATAGTATTGGCCAGTTTCAACCATTGAGTTAAATGGTTACATTCCTACCTCCAATCAGACTGGCAGGCAGGTGAAGCTGCTAGAAAGAGGTATCAGCTGGTCTGTACCATTCTGGACAACCTAAAAAACAGTGGCAAATCTGAAAGTCTTGGTACCCGAGGTACTTACTTTAAAAAAAGTATTCATATCATAAAAATTTAACAATTAGTATCATAGCATCTGTTTTAATTATTAAAGACATTGATGTTGTTTTGAGGGTAAATCTTTAGGATCTACCTGTTTGTGCTCTAGTCCTAAGAGGAAATGACTCTGTTCTTTCCCAAAAATAGGACAAATAAGATAGTTTCACTGCTTCTTTTCTTCTCTTAAAACAGAAGCATCCAGAATGGGAGTTTTGTTTTCTTATTACTTTTCACAGACATTTTGATTCCTGTGGTTCTTGGAGGTAGCTGCTGGAGTTTGCAGAGACAAATGGATGAAGAACAATATTCATCTGGTTGGGACGAAAATTACTCATTTGTTCACTTTCTTAATGAAAGCAATGTCTGCGAAATGGGAAACTATTTTACCTTTTACACCCATTTCACTACTGTTCTCTATACTCTGGCATTTTTGCTCAGCCTGCTAGGAAACACTCTGGTGTTATGGATCCTACTCAAATATGAAAACCTTACATCTTTAACGAACATCTTCATCATGAATCTTTCTGTCTCTGACTTAGTCTTCTCATGCATGCTGCCATTCTGGGCAGTGTACCAGAGCTTCGGGTGGATTTTTGGTGAGTTCCTTTGCAAGGCAGTGAATGCCATTTTCTCCATTGGCTACTACAGTGGTGTTTTCTCTCTAACTCTCATGACTATTTTACGGTACTTGTCCGTGGCGAACCCTCTTTCTACTCTGAGATCCCAGACGCAGTACTGTCGTTCTCTGGTGTGCTTGTTTGTTTGGACTTGCAGCATTTTAATGGTAGTTCCTGAGATTATTCACACCACAGTGACAGAAACCTTGGAAGAAGTCAGTATCTGTGATTATGATGACTGGGAATGGAAAAAAGTGGACATTTATCAGAGAAACATACTCTTCCTGATTTCCTTTGGGATTATCGTATTCTGTTACATCAATATACTGATAATTCTGCTTGGAACAAGATCTCGCAGAAAGCGCAGAACTGTGAAACTCATCCTTGTTATTGTGGTGGCTTTCTTCCTGAGCTGGGCACCTTACAACATCCTCAGCTTTCTGATTACTTTTCCACCATCTACATGCCAGTACAGCAATGACACCCACCTCGCCTTTCACATCAGCCGTAAAATTGCTTTCTCCCACTGCTGCCTCAATCCCGTGCTCTACGTATTTGCTGGAGTCAAGTTCAAGAGGCATTTGTTTCGTTTATGCAGACAGTATTTACCCTGTGGTGATGAAGTCTCCAGCCCCCGGATCGGCTCTCAAGGCAAATTCCACTATGAAGATGGGTCCATCTACTGAAGGGAGACCAAACTATTAGTGCTAGTCTCTGATGAACTTTCAGATTTTAAAGGCCATGCATGATCTCCAATTCCTATAGGCTCTTCCCTGAGACAGTGGCCGATTTTGTCTTTGCAAACATATTGTGAATGGGAAATGATTAGAAAAATGATTAGCAGGAGGATGGAGAAACCAAGAAGTGACCTCAGTGGTCTGTAACTCTTACCTTCTTTATGCTTTTTGGCACAGTGATACTTTTTCTCATTCATGGTTTTCTTTAGAAAAAGAAAAAAGAATGCTTGCTTTTTTCTTTGGCAGTTAAAACTTCAGGTCTTAAAGTGAATAGTGCTGCACATTTCTTTCTTGCCTGATTTTAAATATTCATATTGTTTCTAGCATGGTCACTTAAGCATTTCTGTAGCTTTTAATGCTTGACATTATTTGTCAGTGCTGAACTCACTGATGTTCTCTGTGTGCTAAGGTTCTTCGACCTATTGATAGGCAAATATATATAAAGCCAACAGAGTGTAAAAAAGCTTTGCTTTTTTACCTCCTTCACACCTGTCTATGTACTATAGATACCTATATCTCTGAGGTATGTGAACATCTTATAAATGCTTATGAAAAAAAAAGTCAAGAATTGTAACAGAAGCACAAAATATTTGAACAGTCCTGCCTTGCTCACTTTTTAACAAGTTATTTAAGCCTGCTTGTAGCTTAAGCATATGTTACCATATATCTGAACATGTAAAGGTGACGTGAAATATTATCCAATCATACTGTTGTCAATCATAACCAAAAGTAACTCATGTAAAGATTTCTCCTACTGGTATAATAAAGCGGTACTAATAAATGTTCAGAAATTCAAAGGAATATTACATTGTTACTTTTGTTTTCCGCCTTTGAGAACTACCTATGAGAGCTGAAGTATTTTCAATTGCAAAAGTAATTGTGTATTTTCATACATTCATTTATTTTGGAAGAGACTTCTGCCAGTCCCCCACCCTGCTCACAGCAGTTTGCTGTTTGATGAGGCTGCTTAGGGCCTTGTCTGGTGAAACTGAAAATCTCCAAGAATGAAGACTGCATAATACTTTTCAGGCTTCCTGTCCCAGTGCTTAACAGTTCTCTTGGTGCTTTCTTTTTTCCTTCTACATGAACAAAATTCCCTTTGCTGTAAACTGATGCATCTTTCTCTTGTCCTTTAAATGCACTCCTCTGAATAGAGCTGGATCGTTGTTCTCTGTCTTTCCATTGCAGAAACAAAGATAGCAATCAGTTCTCCTCTGAGCCTTGTTATTTTTCTGAGCCAAAACAAACCCCAGCCAATCTAGTCTTCTTATCCATCATGTGTTTCGGCACCCTACCTGTGTTGGTCACCTTCCGCTGGACTCACTTCAGTCAATCTCTCGTATTGAAGGCCCCAGACTGGATTTGATACGGCACTTGTGACTACATGAGCATCAGGTAGAGGGGAGTAATGGTTTCCCTCAACCTACAGGGCTGTATATTGTAAGATTTCACCACTGCAAGGACACTTAACTGTGCTTTGTTCAACTAGTTGTCCACTTGAAATACCAGATCTTGTCCAGTTCGTCTCTAATAGGGAAGCTCACTGTCCAGGCTGTTGCAGGGAGTTAGGGCATCCGAATGCAGGACTTCGCTTTTGCCAATGGTGAACTCCCAGGGCTTCTGTTCCTCCAGTTTTTTGAGGCCTCCATGCATGGCAGCCCTGGAACTCATTGTACAAACTGCTCCCTTTCATTTGATGTCATCCATGAACTTGCTAAAGGAGCAACCTTTACCACAAAACACCTCCCTGAGGCCTGCCACTCATAACCAGCCACACATGAAGATTTCAAACCACTGACTTCTACCTTTCCAGCCTGATAGCCAGTTTTTCATCTACTTTTTAGTCTACCCATTCAGTCTGTATCTCCCCAGTCTGGCAAAAAGGATAGGGGTACTTTATCAAAAACTTTGCAGAAGTCAAGGTAAATGACCAAGTAAATGCACTTTGTTCCTCTCAACTCTGGAGTCAGGTATCTCATTGTAGAAGACAATTAGGTGAGTCAGGCATCATTTTTTCTTGGTAAGTCTATGCTGGCTGTTTTCAAACATTTTTGTCCACATCTGTGTGGTTATGGCTTCCCAAAGAGTTCATTCCTATACTGGGGCACAGGGGTAAGACTAACTATCCCATATTGGGCAAGCCAGTTGCCTTTTTCAAACCATCAGTGACACCCCCCACCAGTCACCACGACCTTTCTTAGGTAACAGACAGCGCCTTGCAATGATACTGGGCAACAGCCTCAGCAACACCATATGCATCCTGCTCAGTCCCACAGAAGTCTACAAATCCAGTTTATTTACATAGTCCAAAGTAATTCCCCTCTGCTATGGGTGGTACTGCTCTCCTCAAATTCTACTACTGGACATCAAGACATGCAAGCACTTGGAGCTATATCTGTTGTAAAGCGAAAATGCTTTGGTGTAGCTTCTGTCTATGTTTATATGCATATTACTGAAACCATTGGGTAGTCTTAGTACGTGTCTAGGGATGGGCAGCTCAGCATTCTCATTACAGACTTACCTGAAAAATCTCTTTCTTTCCGGCACTTCCAGGAACATGGAAAATACAGACTGCTCTGGGTAAACTGTAATGCTCAGAGGACTTTGAATCTTTAATTTCACTGAATAAATCAACTATTATTTGGCTTGAGCAAATGAAGAACTGAGAGAAAGAACTTTAAGAAGTGAAAAAGGTGAAATTAATTGCTTTTAGAAACTACAGTCTGTTTTAGGGAAGGGAATGGGATCGGGTTGGGTGGTTGCACTCTTACATCTGGCACTTGGTATTATGACTTGTACAGTGCCACGAGGGCCTTTATGCAGGATGGTACCTCTGATCTTAATTGGAAAGGACAGTTCAGTGGACATGCTCTTCCTGCTCCGATTAAGTCCACATAAGGCTTAACCCCTTGGAATAGGAGAACAACCAGCTTCTCCTGCAAGCTCTCAGCTGGACTGTGTTTCTCAGTCTACCTGTCTCTTTTCAGCAGGTCCATGCAAAACTAAGCATCACTACCATAAGTTTCCCAAGCTTTCGTGTAGCTGTGGAAGCCTGCATCTGCCAGCATGCTAGGGGGTAGGGCAAGTAACAAAGTTAATCCCTTCTATAGTGAATGCATATTCTTAAATAAAATTAGAAGATATCCACACCTTTAAAAAGACATCCCACTCCTAGTAAAATCAATTATAATTTTTCTTCTGAACATAATCAGAGCAAGACTCAGACACTACACTCATAAATGGGTACAGTGTGCTGGACAAAGCATTGCATGCACTGATAATTGCAAGGAATATTTTGATCAGGAACAAAGATGCCTCCTCCTATAACTAAGTATTTGGAAAGTACCAACAGTGTTATTAAAATCATAAATAAAATTCTGTTTTGTCTTCTCCTTATGGTTACTTAGCAATTGAAATGTTCTTACTCATGCGGTGTTGAAACAGGAGGGCTCTGTGTTAACCAGTTTGAAGCTTGACTGGTATTTGCTGTATTGATCAAACACCTATGTGTGCTTCAGGATGCAAAACTAAAGCAAGTGCAAAAATTAGAATGGAAAATAGTGCAAGTTTGCTGTCAAGTCAAAATGAGAACAAACTGTAAGGAGTACCAGTACAGATGACCTATGAAGAGCAGTTATCCATCATCATAAATAAGAAACACAACCACTAGTACTTTACTTACCAGTACAGAGTTTTCTTGAAATGAACTCACCCACTCCTACGCATACCAAATGTCAGTTAGCCACAAGCCATTCATTTACATAAAGAATCTGATCCACGTTAGGATACAATGAACACTGAAGTCATCTCACAGCATGAGTTCCCATGGGAGGGGACTGCCACCAGGCATCTTTCTCTGCATTTCACCTTCACATACGAGCATTAGTGATGAAAGACTACAGAACCTGGTAAAGCTGGCCATACAGAAAATTATTTGGGTTTTTCAAGCGAGCTGATCACTCATTTCTTACTTTGTTTGAAAAGACTTGCATTTGAGATAGGATAACAACATTGGCTGGGGTGGGCAGTTGCCTGGAAAACAGCTCTGCAGAAAAGGATCTGGGAAGTCTTCAAACATAATTCAACAAACATGCTTGAAGAAAGAAGGCCAGACACATCCTGGGCTGTATTAGCAAGAGAATAGCCAGCAGAACCAGACGAGCAATCATTCCCCTCTTTTTGGCACCTGTGAGGATGCATCTGGAGCAGGAGGCCACCAAGCCAGAGATTGCAGCGTATGATGGATGCAGACAGGCTGAAGGAGCTGGGTTCATCTGGCCTCGGGAAGAGCAGGCTCAGGAACAGCAGTGTCTGCAGCTTCCTGACTGGAGGATACTGAGAAGATGAAGCCAGATTCTTCTTGGAGGTGCATAGCAATGGGATTGAGAAGTGACAAATATAAACCGGTACATGGTATATTCTGGTTAGGGATGAACATTTATTTTTTTACTGCAATAGAAGTCAAATACCGAAAAAGGGACTTAGAGAGGTGGTGGAATCACTGCTCATGGAAGTGTTTAAGTTAACTGCACACAGCCTTGAGCAACCTCTTCTGATTACATCTGTTCTGAGAAAGAAGTTGGATTACAAACCTCCAGACGTCTTAAATATAAGCTACTCTACTATTTTATGATTTGTTGCTGGAGAAATGTTAAGTGAAATAAAAGTTATTCCATTTTTGTTTTAGACTAGAATTCAGCCTCTCGAGAACTGAACGTGAAACTTTGAACTGAAAAATTAGTTTTTTTGTCCAAAACATTGATTGATTTCCTAGTGGAGATTATACCTGTTAAAAAAAAAAGGATGCTACAGCTTAAATATCTCATTTTGCTTTTGTGTGTAGGTAAGGAAATGGCAATTTCTAGCACCTGGAAAGATTCATTCATGGACACAGAAACAAGAAATCCCTCCCTCACATATGGGCATATGGGAGCAGTATGCTTTACTGCAAAACTTAAATAGGTATTGCACACAAAGGAGAAGTTTGAAAGGCTTCTACATTTATTTGCAGTCTTTTACAGAAATGTCTTCTAGTGCCACCAAAATGCAAAAAAAAAAAAAAAAAAAAAAAAAAAAAATCTTATTCAAAATTTATTTTAAGACAAATGCTGTGTGAAAGGACTGCAGCTAGCATTGGACCTAAGCTCAGCTTCCAACGTCGGAAGTTGATTTCAGCCTTTATATCTTGGCCTACTGTTCAGCCACTTGAACAGAATCTCAAGGATACAACACGATCTTTTCATGATCCTTAGCTATTGAAATGCATACATTATATGTGCAATCATGTAGTGTTCCATCAACTAGTCAAAAGATTTTTGCCAACAAAGGCTTTCTGTTTGCTGTAGTAACTGGCATTACCTTTCTTGGGCTAGTGATATTGGTAGTGCTTTCTATTCAAATTGTCACAGGTTATGAAGAAGTTAATAACAGATTTTCCCAAAATAAAAACA